TGATCAATTAACTTTCCCCGTTTGACAGTCACGCACGGAAATACCCGGAAATACTTTCGTTGTTTTAATATAAACAACAGATACCAACTTCAATTTTCAAATATGAATAAGATTTTCATTCGGCAATTTTAACGTTTGTTAACAGTCTGGATCGATAAACATTCACTTGGAACGTAACCGTAAACCGGAACAAAATTAATTTCGGTTCAACTCTCTGGTTAACAGTAATACTTTCATACCAACTTTATATTTTAACCAATTGCATATTTTGAGTTGGTAGATTTATCTTTGCAAAAAAAAAAAATATAAACAGCTGTTTTGACACGAATACCAACTTAAATAATACATGACTATAATTAGTTCCTTAATTACTACTACAAATATTACTATTTTTCTAATTATACTAAAGTTATAAATGTATCATTTTATTTCAATCAACATTTATTATGTTATTAATTGATTCGAATCGTTTTTAGGCAACCAAACAATCATTGTTTGCAGGATATCCTTTCGAGATCGCATCTATAGATTCAAATTTCTATTATTAAATCACCCACGAAAATACGAATATAATTGATCAATTAACTTTCCCGTTTGTTTTAATATAAACAATAGATACCAACTTCAATTTCCAAATACGAATAACATTTTCATTTGGCAATTTTGACGTTTTGTTAACAGTCTGGAACGATAAACATTTACTTGGAACGTAACCGTAAACCGGAAGAAATTAATTTCGGTTCGACTCTCTGGTTAACAGTAATACTTTAATACCAACTTTGTATTTTAACTAATACCATATTTTCAGTTGGTACTTCTTTGACGTGAGGTTCAATTTAAATATAATTAAGATAAACTGAATTGATATAAATCTCTATTTGAAAAAAAAAAGATAAACTGAAGGACAATCAAAAAAATAGACTTAAATATTGATTCATCTTTGCAAAGAAAAAATCACTATAATTAGTTCCTTAATTACTACTACACTTCTAATTATACGTCTAAAAGTTATAAATGTATCATTTTATTATGTTATTAATTGTTTCGAATCGTTTTTAGGCAACCAAACAATCATTGTTTGCAGGACATCCTCTTTCGAGATCGCATCTATCGATTCAAATGGCGAGGAAATAATAGGGTGTAGCTTTAAATCAATTAGTTTTACGAAGCGGTAAAATCCTTCTTCTCCTCCTCTTGCGGTCCATAAAGATTAAAGACCTGCACGTCCCTCGCAACCCCAATCCGAGAAGAAAGAATCCACCCTCGTTTCGCGAAAGCAAAAAGGTAGGAAGGAGATGAACGAAAGCAGATGGATGAAACGCTTGCGCTCTTGCCAGCAGAAACAGAAGCAGTAGCAGCAGCAGCAGCATCCCGACGTCTATTATCCGCTTGTATCATCTCGCAGATTCGATCGGTACGGATGCAACCAGCATCTCTCGAGAACAACAAAAGCGACGCGCATCAAACAAAACAAAGTGCCAACAACAACAACAAAAGTTAGTTGTTGCCTTAGTTACGATTCAAGTGCGAGCGTGAAAGGAAGCGAAGTTTGGAATTTTTGCGAGATTATCTTTGAGAGTCCGAAATCGCGTTTACAGAAATAATGACGGAAGTGCAAGGGATGAACGTCGCTTTGGAGAGAGTCTCTTTAGGATCCAACAATCACGGTCAGTATAGCTTCCGCAAGCATTTTGTTTTTATTTCAATTTTTTTTTTGTTCACTGCGATGATCGCTTGATTTGTTATGCGTTTTGTAATACCTATATTTAGACACTGTTATTCAACATCCATCCTTCTCCTATTCATTTTGCGACTGATTACAAACATTTGCATAAACTATGATTACTAAATTATTTCTGTTTGTTTCGCTGCGCCGGTTTTACTTTTTTTTTTAATTTATTTATGTATATGCTAAATGTGTTTCGGCGACTATTTGAATCATGCATTTCGTATTTATATAACGACCTTTGGCACTAGACCACAGTTTGTTGCCGAAATTTTCTTCTTTGGCGATGAAAAGGTGAATCGATGCGTCGACACTCTCAACTCTTACGTTATCAGCTGTAATCAATTGTTTTACGAGCTCGATAAACTGACGTATTTTTAGCCTACTCGATTATTTAACTATCTATTATCTGCAACACCTTATATATAATACAAAAAAAACAATTTTTTAACATTCAATATTCAACAAATTATTATAAACTAAAAAAGAAAACATTTCCAAAAACTTTAGTAAATTTTGCGAAATAAACGTAACTATTTTTGCTAGTGTATTTTTGAACATATGCATTGATTCGATAATAAATACGAAATCACGAAAAGCTTTTGACCTATTTTAGAAGGAATACAAAAAAAAAACTATGTATGGTTTAATCAATACTCTTAAAAGTGGTTTTAAAAACGGAAACAATGGAGTATGTATCGACTTGACAGACTCTTCAATCTCTACTAACAATTTATTATTAGAACAAATTATTGCTTTGTTACTATAAGTTTTTTTTTCTTGTAAATTGTAAATTAAAATATTTGTATATATCGTGCACATTTAGAGATATTCGTGTCGTATTACCATTATTATTATTATATATATTTCCAATAAACGTGATATAATAGAATGAGATCAATACGGTCTAATACGTTAGAGTCAAAATAAAGATTTCTTAAGCATTGTTAAATCTTCAATTAACAAACCTATATTTCTATTCTTGTCCATCAATAGATGAAAATGATGACCAGCCAAAATCGCTTTCTAATTGCCCGTAACTAAACTACAATTTTTCCCTTCAATCTTAAACTTAACTTAACGTGGAAACACGCAAGTCATGGAAAAATCAATTGAAATAGAACTGCATTTCTATAGATGCAATCTTGGCAACTATATAGGAGATAATCTTATTTTATCTGAGATTAAAAATGAATTTGTTCATTTTTTTTGTTTAACAAGTCATCGTTGCGGCTATTTTCGTTAATTGGTAATGATCACTCGGATGCTTACGTAATACGTATAGTGTGGATACGCGAAGGGGAGAGATGCGCGACATCGCAATTACGACAGATTGAATCAAAGCGGACATCAACGCCCACGCCGACTCTAAAAACTATTCCAGCATTAAATTCATTCGAAACGAATTATTTATATAGTACACGTTTTGTTGCCTGCAGCTTTAGCTTTAATACGCATATTCTATATAGTTTGTAGCTTTCTTAGTTTTCGCTAAAATGAAAAAAAATGTTTGTTTCAACTTTGACATTGAATTATGGAATACATACTTATATTACTAATTGTTACAATTCGTTTATTTTATCGTCTATAGTTTTAGCTTCAATATGAATATAAAATTTTTATTGTAGCTTGCTTAGTTCTTGAGAAAATTGGTAATAAATGTGCATTGTTTTTTAAAGCTTATTGCTTCAAATTTAATAGTGAATCACTTACGCTACAACTATTACTTTAATCTTTATAGTTTCAACTTTACTTTACATATTCTATATAGTTTATGACTTTCTTAGTTTTCGAGAAAATCAATAAAATGTAAAGACATTTCGTTGCTTCATATTAAATATTAAATTTCGTTTTAACGACTCGCGCTACAATTACTAAATTATACACACTTTATTACTTTATAATGTCATTATTAATATGCGTAAAGTGCTGTATCTTTTATGGACGTTGAGAATTTTTTTTTGTATTAGTTTGTCTTATAGTTTAATAATATGTATGTTTGGTGTAAAAGCATTGTTTGTTTTAAGGTGAAGAAAAGTAAAACTAGTTCTCAGGTTTCATTACAAGTTGACATTGAGTTGTTGTGATCTCATCTTATTCAACGCTTTCAAATCTCTTCTAACCTTGATTCGAAACGTACAAATTTTTCCAAAAAGACACTTAGAGAATGAAGAAATAAAACTTTCCAAACATAAAATGTTCCGTGCCTATTACGCAACGGGCGTCGCGTGCCGTTCCTACCTCTTAGCTGAAACGTGACGTGACATCGAGCAGTTGTATATAAATGAATAAATACTATGTAGACTAGACTACATTGGATGATGATGATGATGGTGATTGCGAAACGGGAGCAAACAAATATAATAGGTACATAATGATTCATACCGATTTTCCGAATATCTTAATAAAAAAGGAAAGAAGAAAAGGTAAGAGGATATATTTAAAGACCGGCACGCGCACCTCATCATGTAGGTCAAGAATACGTCGCGTAACTTCCTTCTCTCATCGCTCCGAAATAGATGTAACGAATGGATTAATCGGATCGGTTTCGCTATGCGGACATTTGCATGCAATTATCGAAGCGACATCTATCAAAATTTGATATAAACAACCACAATCTGTCACTTTTGACATTTGTAAATTAACCTAAATATCAACGCAACATCTCTTGTGTTGGTATCTGGGAATCGTGGCCGTCTTGGAATTCTTAAGAAGGTCCACAATTTTGATCTAGCGTTTTCTCAGTACATTTGATTGCAAGATTTGTCTCCTACTCTGTCTGTCTGATATAAACAATCCCAATCTGTCACTTTTGACATTTGTAATGAAACATCTATCATCAAATAACTAAGCTTTAGAAGACATAAATAAACACACTTAAACAATAATGATTAGCTGTGAAAACAATTTTGCTATTACATTATGCGACATCTATCAAAATTTGATATAAACAAGCCCAATCTGTCACTTTTGACATTTGTAACGCGACATCTATCATAAAATAACTAAGCTTTAGAAGACATAAATAAACACACTTTAACAATAATGATTAGCTGTGAAAACAATGCTGCTATTAATTATATTATGCACATCTATCAAAATTTGATATAAGCAATCCCAATTTGTCACTTTTGACATTTGTAATGCGACATCTTTCATAAAATAACTAAGCATAATAAGACATAAATAAACACACTAAAACAATAATGATTAGCTTTGAAAACAATGTTGCTATTAATTACATTATGCAACATCTATCAAAATTTGCTATAAACAAGTCCAATCTGTCACTTTTGACATTTGTAATGCGACATCTATCATAAAATAACTAAGCTTAATAAGACATAAACAAACACACTTAACAATAATGATTAGCTGTAAAAACAATGTTGCTATTAATTACACAATGCGACATCTGTTATCAATTTAATAATGTGACATATAAAACTTTTTATACACTTGAAATTAAAAAAAAAAGAACAAAGCAAATAAAAAAAAGTGACAAGTAAACTTCACTGAAACACTCCAAACAAAATGAGTTTTATACAAGTTTTCTGTTAGAGATTTCTTTTATTCTCTTATTTAAACTGGTTTCTCTGTGGTTAGAGAGAACAGTTAAAATACATCAACTTAAAAAGCTTCACTCCACCAACACATCAAAAGTTATGAAACTAAATGACAAATCAAGTTGTTTAGTAATAAAGATATCATCAAATGATTAACTCATTACAATCACAGTATATTCTATTATCTAATCATAAAGTTGTCTAATTTCATCTAAATTCATTTATATTTTAATGAAACAAAGTTAAAACAAAGTTAAAAATGTCGTTCAAATTTTAGGGTTATTTAGCTTGAAACAATTTTGACATTTCTGAAAATCACGTTAAAATTTTGGGTTATTGCGCTTAAAATAAT